GCGCATTGCTAATGCAAATGTAGGCATCTTTTTCTCCTTTTCGTTCGCTTTCTCTCGCCTCTTTTCCGATTGCCTGCTCAGGCACACTTACACTCTGCTCCTCTCTCCTCGAGCCGCCGTTGCAACTCACATTCGACGCATGGCCTCGGCACCTTCAGGCGAATCGGCTGCTTTTCGTGGCCTCGATGCCTGGGCCATGCTGCTCTTTCGCAACATGATGCAAACAAACAACCCTCTCAAGACATACACAAACACACAGACAAACACATGCACTCTCCGATTGCACGAGGTGGGTTAACCATGTCTGCTGGCTGGATTGGGCTGAGAGACAGGATGAACAACTCAGGCGAGCAGTGAAGCGTGAACCAAGGGCCGCGCTTGAACCCAGGACAAGCGAATATTCGTTGCACGCACCAACTGGCTTCAAGTTTTCGCAAATCAGCTACCGTCTGTCAGTCATTGGCCTACATACATACACACTTACAGATATGCATGCATGCACGCATACAGACAGACATACACACATATATATATATATATATATACGGACTTATCGACAGGCAGATAGACAAACGGCGGATTGTGGAGCTGCAAACCTCTCGAAATGAATCAGAGCCAGGCTTATTTTGGGCGTCGGCAACGTCGACTCAGTCGTCAGGAGTCGAGCAAGGCAAATTCACCAATATTCTGCCTGAAGGTGGGCAATTGTTGATAAACTCGTTGACTCACCCGAGTCGTATAGATGATCCGCTAACTACAAACGTAAACACAATATCGCCCGTTTTGCACAGATCTTCTCTACATCCAGCAGATGGTATATACTCGATTTTTTAAATGTATTTATCCTATTCCGTTTAAGGTGATAAAGGTACTGCAAAAATCCTATGAGTAGATCTTACTTTTCTATTACATTTCACATAACCTTGCCTTGCTAAAAGATATTTCTCCTTTTCTCACTACCAGTCACCTCGTCACCTTACACAAAATAGGGTGAATACATCTCATATAAA